TGACTTGTTATTTGTACCGTTTGTTTACTACTTTGTGTTTCTCAGAGCTTGCCCAGTGAAATTCACACCAAAAAATCATGTCTCTTTCATTTTCAGGCAGCACAGTAGTGCAGCATTATGTCATTTGGGTTGCAAACCAGGGGAAATGCTTATTTGGTAAAAACAAAACTAAAACAAGATAAAATGATTCGCTTTGATTTGAGTGGGAGAGGCCTATATTCTTAAAACTGGTGCTCCCGGTTCTGTTTCTGCTGACAGTCATGTCTTTGTGTATGCAGCGATGATTCATTACATAAGGGTTGAGTAAAGGCTTCAGGATTGGGGCCTGTTGATGTGTTTAAATGGATTATCCTGAGGTAAAATCAAAAGAATCTCATTCTAGGAATGCAGATCAAAATGCATGGATATTACTCTGGTACTCTCACGACACTTATCATTTGGGGCTTTTAGAGGTTCTGAATGCCGCAGTTGGATATGGATTGTTTTTAAAGAACTTAGAATGTTCCTGGTTCTCCCAGAAAACAACAAAAGTCAGGCCTATATTAGGGGACGTCCATGCAAACTGCTGTGGAAGCGGGGGTCTTGGACTCACATGAGTCTAAATATATGAGATGTTGGAAGGGATGTTAAGAATTAGATCCAAAGTGTTACCAATGACTAGCTTTACATATGCAGTGAAAAGTCTATAACAGAAAAATATCCTTTTCCTGGTCCAGGAAATGTTAATATTAAATTTGGGGGGGGGGGGATATCTTTGTAACAGTGAGCCTTTTAGCTGTGAAAAATGTCAATGAAGTGGCATTCGATCATCATTATTTCAGGTACAACATATTATGCACTGATTGCTGCTTTTGTCTTTTTAAAACAAAGGATGCTCTGAGCTGCATTTAAAATCCCATAAGGGAGCTGGTAATGAAACCTCCTGTTCTTCCGTTTTGCTAAACTCCTTGTCAGTGTCTGTATTTAAACTGAAAGGTCAAGAGAGTTAATACAGCCCCCCTCCCTCACCTCCCTACTGAGCAAATATGTTGCCTCCTTCTCAGTTCTTTGTAGGCCTTATTTTTTATGTTTGATATGTTGACTATATGGGCAAGCTATCAAATTGGCAGAACAGGTAATGTAATTTATCTGCTGAATATCTTTCTGCAAATGGGGTGATGTTATTAACATTATGATGAGTTCCCTGGTTTTTAGTTTATTAGTATTTGGGGGTTGTTGGGTTTTTTTTTTTTGGTAGCAGCTCAGAAATCCCATAAATGCTACTGCCCTTCATTTCATTACTCAGTAGCTTTATTTCCAGCCACTTTACATTAAAAGACTTATTTATAACCCTGAACCCTTAGTAATGTTTAGAGACAGAGGTCAGATCTGTGTGTAATATGTGACAGGCTAAAGCCTAAACATTGTAAGCAATTTAATTTATGTTACTGCTGTCAGAGAGCTCTCAGTCAAAGCTTCACTGTTCGTATGCAGCTTGGAAGCCTAGGATCTGGGGATATCTGAGTTGCGTGGCTTCTGTTAGTAAGCATGTGGAGTGGTAATACAGAATAGTTGTTGTTAAATTACAGAGGGAAGTGGGGATCACCACTGATTACAATTTTGCAGTCACCTAGCATTAAAAACGCAGGATGTCGGTGCTTTGTAACCTTCTGGTAATGTGGTAAATGATTCCCGTCATAGCTGCAGTGTGACAAGCAAGTCCTCAAGTTAAACCTTCAACAAGCTGGACTTGGGACAGAATGGGTGGGTTTTCTCTCATGCTTTTCTACTCCACATCTAAGCTATATCAAGGCATCTGGGACCATTAGATTATCTCAGAAATGGGCAACTATGACTCCTGGATTCTATCTTGAGCTCTTCCACTAACTGCTCTGTCATGTTGGGCAGTTCTCTTAACCTTTGTATAACTGGGTTTACCCTGCGTGTAAAAGGGGGTTAATAAAACATAGCTATCTTGTAAAGCATCCTCAGACCATGCCAATTGCTGGAGGACTGGCTGGTCACATGCTGTTTGTTCCTTTTCTTGGCTTCCAGCTGCTTCTAGCAGGAGCCTGGAGGCCTGGAGCAGCAGCTGGGAACAAGAAGAAGGAACCAGCCTAGTTGCCTCTATTAGGGTTCAGTGTTACAAAAGAGGAGGAGTAGAGGTATCAGCCACAGAGGGAGAGTAAAGTCCACAGAAACAGGCAATGAGACAGCTCAACAACAGATCCAGAGGGAGAAAAGGACCAGGTGGCTGGGCAGTCTGTCCAGTGAAGCAGAGGAGAAAGGGAATCAAGTGGCAGAGTAGCGTGTGCGGGGGAGAGGAGAGTAGGGGCTCCGAGACATGGAGAAGTATGGGCAGAGGAAGGGGGTGGATTAGAGCAGATGGGAGGAGGGAGATGAAATGAAGAGCAAATTTACAGTATGGTTTAATTGTACTCAAAAGGGACAGGACTTCGGAAAGCTGCTTAAGATAGATCAGAGCATTCCCAGTATTGCTGTTCCATGCAAGTGCAGTTATCACAAGGGAGCTATCACAATGAAGAATGGGAAGAGGAGGTGGTTTGTACAATCACTGGCCGGTGTAGAGGGGGTTTGCTCGGTTGTGAGTGGGAGGAGAGGTCTGGCTGCATGATCTTAAGTGGAAGGGGAGGTGGTCCATGAGACAATCTGTCTGGCCCCAATTCAAGATTCCTAAGGGCAGGTCTACACTTAAAATGGTGCATCAATTCAGCTGTAACGCTTAAGTGAAGACACTCCTATGCCAATGGGAGAGTTTCTCCCGTTGGCATAGTTAGCTATGACCACTCACAGAGATGGATTATGTCGACAGGACAAGCTCTCCCGCCGACATAGTGCTGTCTACACTGGGGGTTAGGTCGGTGTAACTACATCACTCAGGGGTGTGGATTTTTCATTAAATCTGTAGTGTAGACGTGGCCCAAGTGTCTGCTTAAGTCCCTTGAGGTATGTCTACACTGCAATCAGAGGCTAACCCAGGGATCTCAAACATGTGGCCTGCGGGCCGCATGCGGCCCGCCAAGCTTCCCACGCCACTCCCCGCCCCTTTGCCTACCCGTGGGATTGCCTCCTGATGCTGCAAGCGCTGCGCTGCTCTCTGAAGCAGCAGGCAGCATGCCCCTTTGGGCCGGGGGAAGGGGGAGGGAGGCAGAGGGCTCCGGCATTGCCTCCTTCCAGGCACCGCCCCCCACAGCTCCCATGGGCTGGAAACAGGGAACTGCGGCCAATGAGAGCTTTGTGGGAGGTACCTAGAAGAGCGGCAAGAGCCGCACAAGCAGAGAAGCCTGAGCCCCTCCGTCTCCCCCAGGGGCTGCAGGGACACGGTTCCAGCTGCTTCCTGGAATGGAGCAGCACGGAGCCGGGGCCAAGGAAGGCAGGGAGCCTGCCCTGGCCCCAGTGAGCGCCGCTGCCACCCCGGAGCTGCTCTAGGCAAGCGGCACCAGGCTGGAGCTCACACTCTGATCCCCTTCTGGACCCCCAACTCCCTTCCCTGAGCCCCCTGCCACATCCCACACCCCGCCTGCACCCGAACTCCCTGCCCTGAGTCCCCTGCCACATCCCACACCCCAACTCTCTGCCCTGAGCCCCCTGCCACATCCCGTACCCCTCCTGGACCCCCAACTCCCTGAGCCCCCTGCCACATACCACACCCCTCCTGCACCCCAACTCCCTGCCCTGAGCCCCCGCCACATCCCGCACCACTCCTGCACTCCCTGCCCTGAGCCACCTGCTGCACCCTACACCCCGACCCCCTGCCGCACCCCTCTTGTACCCCACACACCAACTCCCTGCCCTGAGCACCCTGCACACCTCTTGCACCTCAATTCCCTGCCCTCAGCCCCCGCTGCACCCTGCACCCTTTCTGCACCCCCTGGGGGCAGCATTGGGGTGGGGACTTCAGGGAAGGGGTGGGAAGAGGTGGGGCAGGGGTGGGGCCTAATTGGAAGGAGTGGAGTGGGGGCGGGGCCAGAGGCAGCGGCGGGGGTGTGTGTGTGTTCAGTGATGCGGCCCTCGGGCCAATGCACTAGTTCTCATGCGGCCCTAGGGGTCATCTGAGTTTGAGACCCCTGGGCTAACCTGTGCTGCCAAACTTCTCTGTTATTGTAATTCACACGAGCTAGATCAAAGCTACCTTGAATATGTCTGCACAAGGATGACCAGATAGCAAGGGTGAAAAATCGGGACAGGAGGTGGCATGGGGTAATTGGCGCCTATATAAGACAAAGCCCCAAATATCGAGACTGTCCCTATAAAATCGGGACATCTGGTCACCCTAGTCTGCACTTGCTGCTGTCACACCTTTGATTGCAGTGTAGAAATACCCTTTGAAGTCAAACTTAGGGCATGGCTACACTAGAGTGTTTACAAGGCGCAGCCGCACCCACCTTTCGTCGGCTTAACTACTCCAGCCCCCGTGAGTGGCAGTCGCTATGTCGGTGGGAGAAGCTGTCCACACCATCGCTTATGTCGGTGTAACTTATGTCACTTGGGGTGTGTGTGTGTGTGTGTGTGTGTGTGTGTGTGTGTGAATAAATCACCCCCCTGAGCGACATAAGTTACACCGACATAAGCTGTAGTGTAGACATAACCTTAAATTCTGTACTAGATAGGGATGAATTTAAGCACATCCCGATTACATTCTTGAATCGGGGCTTCTGCTAAGATGTGGGCCACATTATGAATAAATGTGAGAGACTCCACCTCAATTGAAAAGAGCTATTGAACCCCAAATAACCCCCCCCCACACACACACACACTATAGTTTGTCACAATTTAAGTATTAAAATAGCCTTTGAGGCAGCACCTGTAAATGCTCTTTGACTGTTACAAAGTGACTGGGGCAGCAACATGGAGAATGCCAGAAAATAGCTGAAGAGGTGCTTAGTTGTAAAGTTTCCCCCAAAAAATTGGGTTGGGGGGGAAATCTCACAATGTTACTTATATTACATTACACATAATCTCTCGCATTACTTATTGTGGCATATTGTTTCCTCCTACAGAGTTCTGCTCAATCGCTTTCAGGAAGAGGCTATTCCGTAAGTCATTTTACAGCTAATTCTTTCACTATTGTTGCTGTTGATTGCAGAGGTTTATATTACCTGTTGCATATCCACTGACACTAAGGGAATACAAAACATGAAAAATAAGCTTTGAGCAAAGCACTGTCTTGTGTTTCTAGCAAGAGAAACCTTCTGCACACGAGAGAACGTTGAATTGCCTATTTTCAGGTCTCTGGAATTTTGTTTTCTTCATGTTCTTCCCCACCCCCCAACTACTTTTGACTAGTCAATCAGGTAATGAAAATTTAAGAAATAAAAAGGAGGAGATTTTCTAAGATAGATGCCTGTCTCCCATTGATTTTCTAACTACCCCTTTGTGCCTTTAAAAATATTCCACCCAAAACCAAACCAAACAAATGTTAAATTCTCTTGCTGGCAAACACTGTGCTGTATAACTGATCAGAACAGAATAAATCTTACTTGATTTGAAAACCGGGTAGCATGATTGTTTTTGCCTCCAGTAAACCAGGATGCCATAATTATAGGCAATGTTATAGGCCCTGAGGTTCAAAAGTAGATACATGCAGATGCAGTTCCACAATGGTTTTTAACTGGCCATTTGTATGTGCAGATACTTGAAGTGACTTGTATGCACAACAATGGTATTTTTCCGTGTAGATGTGATGCACTCGTTTGTACATGTGCCTTGCACTCATCCACCTGAAAATCGGGCCTACAAGTGTATTGTATGGAATTTATATGAGACAAGAGACACACAGGTATACGTTTATTGAAGACATCACTAAAGTCCTGGATTTGTATTACACACAACTCTTAGGAGAAATGTATGGCATTTAGATGCATGTAATGACATTGCTGGTCTCCTATCAAGTCATGTGTTCTCTGATTACTGGTGCAGAGGTTGTAAGTGAAGTTGTATGATGATCTGAATTAGAAGTGTGTTAACCCATTTAACAATCCCTACATATACTAACTGGCAGTAGGCACTCCTGTTGCAAGTTCATCACGATGCAAGTTTTATCTTCTAGGTGAATGACACGGAATGTGTGTCTTATATCAAGAGCCACCGCTGCTTCCTTTTAACAATATAGTTTAAAAAGGGGGGCAGGTTGTTACATATTGTTTATGAGGTTGATGTAACAACCTGACACAGAGCCTTTTAAAGTAATTGAGAATGATTCTTTTTAATGATGTATGTTGTACATTTGTCCATTTGACACGAGGGGGAGAGAGAGAGATTATCTGAGTAATGTGATGGAACCTGTGCGTGTCCAGCTGGTGTGATGTACACATTAACATTGGGAAGCTGTAAGATCTGTCCCAGTTTCAGAGTGACAGCATCACACACATACTCTTGTGACAGAGGCACAATGGCAGTGTGAAGTGCATTGGCATGATAGTATCTCATGATTTGGAGTCTAAAGGCTTTACAAATAATATTTTGGTGACGTCAGCTGATGTTGACATGCATCTCAAATATCTTGCAATCAAAATATTTATTGTATCTCAGGTGAGTATCATTGCTTAACTCACTTGCTGCATGAGATCTTTTGCTCTAGCATGAAGACTCAAATGTACGTGTGGAAAATAGAGCAGTCAATCTCCCATACATATGAAGGGCTGGATCCATCTAGACTGAAAACTCTTTGGGCTATGTCTTCTGTAAAGTGCCATGCATGCCTATGGCATTATATAAATAATAATGAATCACCTTCACAAATTTTATGTCTGGGAATTAAACAATTTCCCACTGGTCATAAAATCTGAATGGAAAAAGGGCAAAGGATTGTTCAGAAGCCCCTAAACCAATACATCATTGGGTAATTTTGTCTGTTGCTGACTGAAAATAAATCTATTTTTTTTCTTTAATAACTGATCTTCAGAAATTATTTAGCTCCTTGTCTGAAAACTGGTTTTGTTCTGTCTCATTTACCCAACCCAGACCTTCTCAAGGGAGGGGAGAGCTCTTAGCATCCCCGAGCAGTTTTGAGATCATGAGTAGCCTGAGCTGGAGTTGCTTTTCCTTCTGGGTTGTCATTTTATCTCTTAAATTGCCTTCTGCCTCACCATGTACCAGCTGTTGAGGCTGACCATTTCCCTTAAGACTATCATGCTGTTCTAAATTGATCCAACATAAGGCCAAGACTATAGCTTCTAACACTGCCAAGATCCCGTTGGCCCAAACTTAGCTTGGAACCTGACTCTCCCATGTGGCACTAAGACATTCTAACCACTGACTCAACAAGACTGGCCAAGCTAGGAGTTGTCCTTAATATATTGCAAAGGTTTCATTTTCACAGGGAACTAGCTGTATATTAAGCACTAAATCAGTATTTTGGCACGGCCCTCTGTTTATATCAAAGAGCCTGTTTGCCAGACATGGTGAAAGCATGTTTAAAAAATAGCATTTACAAGAGTAAGGCACAGTTTCTTTTACTTGTGTCCTATTCTCTTGATATCTGTGATGGCTTATGTTGTTGAAAATTGTCACTTACAAAATGGTATGTAGTTACTATGCAGGGTAGTTGCTCTGGGTTTCACATATCATAAACTGTTTTGTACGTTACATATTAGGGTTTGCTTTTTTTAAATGAACTCGCTTTGAATCTGCACCCTTTCATGTTTGCTTTTTTCAGCTATCCTTGCAGATGAGTTTACTGTTAGGAATGCTCATATGATCACCAAGTTTGTAAGGAAATATTTACTGGTAAGAAGAGAATTTGAAATCCAAAATCATGAGCATTTGCCAAAAACCTTATTCAAAGTTTTAAGCTCATCCAGTCAGGAAACAGAATGCTATGTAAGCTATGTGTCCAATCGCAACATTTTCAAATTCGGAGCCTAAAGTTAGGTAGAAAAATGAATTTAAGCGCCTATACAAGAGACCTAATTTTCATTTGCTGAACAGCCCAGCAACTCCCACTGACTGAGTTTTTACTCCTAAATTTGAACATTTTGACCACAGAACTACTGATGGAAATTGCTTGGTATATAATTTCAGTTTGTTCACAGATAACTGGTGATCAGAAAAACGGTGAAATTCATTGACTATAACATGTTTGTTATGAATTTACTGGTCAGCATAAAGTTTCAAACAAGGATTAATTTTACCTGGGACAACAGGGTTATGCAACATATGTAGATGTGTGGATTAGCAAGCTGTTTATCTCATAAGCAGTCTAGCATGAGTTTTTTTATGCCCTTTTTCTGTTGCACGTCAAATGTGTATTTTCTCTGTGTTGAGAAATGGAATGGTGGCATGTTTTTGGAGGGTAATAACTTACTCTCCATTCCTTTATTTTAGCAAGTATGTGATAAGGTATTATGCTATGCCTCTCATGCACATGGCTGAGATCAGACATTCCAGGTTTCAACCATTCTGAGTAGGGCCGGGTCTAGGATTTTTGCCACCCCAAGCAAAAACAATTTTGGCAGCCCCCCTCCATTTTTTAATTACCCCACCCCCGGCCCCGCCTCAACTCCGCCCTTTCCCCAAATCCCCAGCCCTGCTCCCCAGCCCTGCCTCCTCCCTCCAGGCTCTCAAGCCTAGGAGGGAGGGCGAGTAGCGGTGCGCGAGCGGCAGCAGCAGCGGAGGTGAGCTAGGGCAGCCGGGGCACATTTTTAGGGGCGGCATTCTGGCGCCGGCCATGCCGCCCCTAAAAATGTGCCGCCCCAAGCACCAGCTTGTTTTGCTGGTGCCTAGAGCCGGCCCTGATTCTGAGCCAGAAATGTGTTTCTTGCAAGCAGAAAAAAACAGATATTTTGGGTAACAACTTAAAACAGGCAAATCCTCTTTCGTACATTTTACTTGTAGTCTTGGAAATTCTGGGAATGCTTCACTGATCGTGTGTCCAGTTTCTAGATTTCACTAAGGTTGTGCTGTGGAGCATTTTAAAAATGTATTCTTTATAGTTATACATTTGTTTGACACAGTGTGTTTAGGAACTAGTAACCATGAATACAATAACAAATTACATGGACTATATGAACACAGCTAAAATGCCTCAACTGTTTGAAATGTAGAGCATTGCGAACAGATAAGTCTAAGCTAAAGTTGTGCTTGGCTCATTTTTGTACAAAGGGGAAGGGGCAGAAGTGGGAATACATGGTAATAAAAAATCTTCAGATAAATCATGTAGCTTGTTTATAGAACATCTGTATAGCTGTTTCTCTTATGAAATGGAAGGGAATAAAATGCAGAGAACAAACTTAAAAGCACATGGCAGATCCAGGTTCAGTGAACCAAATTGTCTCTGGGTATCCACTGGAACAAAGTGTTGACGGATGGAGCTCTTCGTTTTATTTATTTATTTTTTTGGTCCTGAAATAAGATTTTTTTTTTAAACTAATAACAATAACATGCACTTGGCAACAAATGCAGCTGATTTTTACTCTATGCTGCTGTAAAATATCAAACTCTATGCAGCCTAGTCAAATCCTGGCAGCCCATCAAATTTAGTGAATGTTACCTTTTTTGTTTTTGTTTTTGTTTATTTGTATATAAGCACAAAGGGCCCTTGCTGGCTACATTTCAGTCTGTCTGAGTCAGTGGAAACCAGTGTCCCAAATAATTTATATTTGAAGATTATGTATATCAAGGTATGTCTAAAACACATAAGACTTACAGAGAGATCTTGAGATGATTCTTTCTCTCTTTGGGGCATCCAAACTCATAGTGATTAGTGCACCTTCCCACCATAGTGTGACTTCTCATAAAAGTGAAGTATTTATACAGACAAAGTTAGAGCCAAGCATAATATAGGCAACCACTTGCAATTTTCCTGAATGCACATGTCCACCAATACACCTGATGCTTGCTATTGAACACCTCTGCAACTCTGCTGTGGACCCTTCCTGAGTGTAGAGTCATTACTGTCAAATTGTATTGAGGTTTTGAGAACGGGTTTTAGTAACCATCTTTAAAGCCCTCTGGATCCAGTTGTCTAAGAGACTGCGTCCTACTCTCTACTCTATCTCAACCATTAAGCTCTGCTAGGATAATCTTATCTGTCTGT